AAAGGCAATGGTCCCACATGATAAACAAAGTTGATAGACGACTAGCAAGGTGGAAAGGAAGGTTCATTTCTTTCACTAGTAGATCCACCCTGATCAAAGCCACCTTGGCTAACACCCCCATTTACCTTATGTCTTTCTTCCATATGCTAACGGCGGTCGCCAGCAGACTTGAACAGTTGATGAGAAACTTCTTGTGGTCAGGTGATGCCGAATCAAAGAAATATCATCTTATCTCTAGGGAAAAAGTATGCCAACCCAAACTTGAAGGGGGACTCGGCATCCGGATTTTGAGGAAACAAAACACTGCTCTGCTTGGTACATGGTGGTGGCAATTAGCAACTCACAATGACCTGCTGTGGACCCAAGTGATTCCCTGCAAGTACAAAATCCCAACAAATTCTTGGCAGCTGAAAGGGCGCTCCATGAGCCGCCCGGAAATCTTTCTCTTTTCTCTCTCTCTTTCAATACTGCATCCGATTTCACCCTAGGGAAGGCCATCGCATCCCCTCGTTTAAGTACTTCTTCCCTTCCCTCTTCTCCCTAGCTACAAATGCATCTTATTCATTTGCAGACGAGATGCTCCTCTCGGGCAACATTAGAGTTTGGAACCCATACTTTAGACGTTTGCTCAATGACCCTGAAACCAAATAATTCCTTTCTTTGTCATCCATCTTGAGCTCATGCTTCTTAGCTCTTTCAGGTCCTAACAGCATTCTTTGAACCCCCCTCTCCCTCGAGGTCCTTCTCTGTAGCTTCCTTTTACAAAAAACTCCTTCTACGCCTCATTCTTCGAAATCAATGGCCCAAGTCCAGTCATCCTTTGCACCTCTTAAAGTGCAGGCATTCAATTGGATTGGTTGTTCCAAAAGACCCTTACGGTGGATCAACTACAACGTAGGGGTGTTCCTATCCCCAACCATTGTGTGATGTGCACAAGCGAGGAAGAATCAAACCCCCACCTCTTCATCCACTGCAAGCTGGCCCATGAGCTTTGGAGCCTCCTGCTCTGCCTCTTCGACCTCTCGTGGGGCATCCCTCCTTCCATTCCGACCCTCCTCAATCTTTTTAGTGACACTCTGTGGCCTTCTACATGCAGGCTCCTTTGGAAAACCTCCGTCGCAGCCACCATTTGGGCCATTTGGACGAAGAGGAACTCGAGGATATTCTAAGGAACCAAATGTGAAGTTCCCGGTCTATTCCACAAAATCACCTCAGAGGTAGCCTTTTGGGCATCCAATCACAAGGCTTTCAAAGGCGTTTCAGCCACTACTTTCCCACACCGGCGAAAAGAAGTCTTACAGACCCAATCGCCCAGGGTTCAAAGATCGAACGACGGGTCCGCCCCCCCCAGAGGGCCATACTAAGCGTAACTTCGACATGTGCTCTTTGAGTAACCCAAGGCTAGCTGAGGTGGGCAGGGTATTCTGTGACCACCTCAGCAATATTCTAGCTTCATTCTCTAAAAGCATAGGCCACGCAGGCTCCCAATTCGCAGAGTCCATAGCACTGCTAACTGGTCTCAAGCTCCTCAACCCCTCATGGCCCCAACCACTTTTAGTGAAAGGAGACATAGAAAAATTATAACCTGGGCAGCTGCTTTTGGCCCCCCTTCATGGTACCTGGCTTCGATTTTTGATGAGATAACTCATGTTTGCATGGATATAGCCGTCTCATGGAAGTATATCTAGCGAGAATCCAACGACCTGACGAATCAACTGGCTAAAGATGGAGCGAAAACTTACTGCCCGACACCATGATTGGATGGTTTTTTTTGTTTTTCCTTTCTTTCCTTGTATGGGCCAATTGTTGTGGCCCACTCTTGGTTTTTACTATCCTTCTTAAGGTCAGGTTCTTTTTGGTATAATGCCCAAGCATTTTTTATATAGGAGCACCCTTCCGAGGTACTCTATTCTTTTCTAGCATGAGGCCTAGCATGTGGGCTTCCTCTGTAACTCTATTGTACTCACTAGATTCTCTTAATACAACAGTTAACAGTTTGAAATAAATAAATAAATGAAATAGTAGACTCACCCTCGCATTTTGAAATGAGTTAATACCAATCCTTCTTTAAATACAAGTTGTGCATTGACATTGGAGTTAATACCAATCCTTCTTTCAATCCGAATATTGTGCATTGACATTGGGGTTTCATCCTGAGACCTATGGGTTATAGGACTCATCAAACAAGTTGTTGATGGGACACCCAACGATAGTAGCCTGCCTTAGTTTGATGGAATCCTCTAATTGGAAACAGGAAAGGCCAGTCCCACCATTGGTGAGAACTGCCTCTAGTTGCCTCCTCTTTTATTTCTTCACCATCACCACTATTGCAGTCATTACCATCATTGCGACGACCATCACCATCGCCTCCAACTTGTTCTCTATCATAGATAGGAACCCCAAGTTCTTCATTTTCATCAATGATTCATAAAAAATAGGATCCCCTGGCTCTTTATCAAAAATAGGATCACTATCAAAGATAGCAACACTAGCAAAGATAGGACCATCCATTAATTCAAAGAATATTGAATCCAATTGAAGATTGGATCATTATCATTCTCCTTCAAAATTATGCTCCCATCGACGCCATCGCACATCACACCCCATCTATGTAACTTGACACGTTATCAATCTGTTTCCATTGAAAACTCAGAGTCTGATTTGTGCCAATCTTGATAAAAATTCTCATGATTTGGATCTATTTTTGTAGATTCCTTTTCGCGTTGTGCACATTGTTGTTGATCTCGCTTGCACAACAGCTATGTAACTCACGCTATCAAGTTTGTTAATTTCCTTGTCGCATCGGATCAGATAGGTATCCCTACGACCGAGACCTCCACAGTCTTTGAGCCAGCTCTAATACCACTTGATGCTGGAAGGAGAGGTGGGAAATTAAATCTACCCTTTTCCCAAACCTCTAACAAGTAAAAATTAGCAAAAATGAGAAAAAGCATGGCTGCAAAACAAGCCAAGAGAAAAAGAACTTCCTACGTTCATAAAATAAAATTCATTCCAACAACATAAGCATCCCATAATGTGACGTCTCACCTAAGCCTATCAAACCCTAAAATAAAATTAAAAACCAAGTATAACCAATGCAAGTCTCTAAAATACCACTAAACAATGCTATAAATTTTAGAAATATCCATGTGAACAGCAAGCCTATCAACAGCTCCTGTGAATAGTATTTGTGAACTGTACATATGAATAGTAACCAGTGAATAGTAAAAAATAATAATAATAAAAAATAGAAACTAAGTGTTGGGGACCCCACATTATAATTCCTAAAAAAGTAATCCTAATAAAATCGATACACCAACATCCATGAAATTAAAATTAAATTAAATTTTTGTATCACCCAGCTCTTGATCTCCATCACTACTAAGCCATTTAAGTTAAGCCACGTGATGAAAATACCCTCGCCTGTTCAGAGATAAAAACCCCAAAATAAGAGATTTTAATAAAAAACATGTTTCGGGTTCGGAATGTTGAACAAGTTGGGGTAGTTTCATCATTTGGTTCGGGCCACGAAAGTTAGACCATATTTACTAAAATGCCCACCAACATTTTTCACAGCATAGTTGAGGAGGTACCTAAGTGAAAGAGATTTCATAACATAACCACTGTATAGGTAAATATGTTTATTTAATCACATCAATGACTTTTTGAGGTGGCTTGACCATTTTACCAATATTGCCCCCACACCTCCACCCAACGAAAGGAAAAGCAAAATATGTAATATGTAATGGGCACGACTAGGGAGGAGTTCAAGGAAGTGTTTTAGAACTCAACAGTTGAAGGCAGTGTTTTAGAACTCAACTCGGCCAATCCCTGGCCTGGCCAAGTTAGTCGAGCAAGTTTGAGTCAACTCACCTAAGTACATGTCAAGAAGCCTAATGAACTAAAAAATCAAAAAAATTAAGAAAAATTCCTAAAAAACATTTTATAAACTAAGGAAAACTTAGAAAAATGATGAACAATGGAAAAAGTATATTAAGATGAGTAAAAATCTTACAAAAAAATATAAAAAAATAGAAAACTAGTCAATCTTTTCAAAAAAAAGTTAAAGAAATTAGAAAAATATTAAAAATCATAAAATCATAAAAAGATGAAAACAAAACTAATTATAAGGAAATTATAATTGATTTGCTCAAAGCCTAAATCAAGTGTAAATCAACTATATTTAATTATACAGCAACTATACAACCCCCAGGGGATTTCAGGTCGGCAGACTTAGGTGAGTCCGAGTCGGTCACGTCGAGTTGTAAAACACCAGTTCAAGCGGTGTGATGGTACAAGACCTAGTATAGGAATGGAACATTGAAGATTCTAGGAGGAAAGATAAGTAAAAGATCCCTTTACATGAGACATTGAAGTTTGTGGTTAATGGTTGCTCTACTGGAAATCCAAGGGCTGAAGGTATTAGTGGAGTTCTTAGGATTGGATCTAGAGGTCACAAGATAGTGTTTTGGGGGGCAATTGGAGCTGTAGATTCCACATAAGCTGAAGTTAATATTTTCACTGGTTCCTTATCTAGCTGCTTGGTAAATGAAGGTGAATCAATCATCTAACATTGTAGACTTCCCACTCAATTTACAGTCCTTGAATATTGATGGATGTATTGAATGAAATTAATGAGATTGCCACGTGGTATAGTGAAGCAAATTTTGATAGATTGAGAACTTCATGCTGGCATCAAGGGTCTGGATCAGTTTCCATTTGTGGTGCATTTGTGGTGCACATCATATACCTCAATACTTGTGCTAACTCTGGCAGTCGAAATGAAAATAATATATATAAACCAATCAACTGTAGGAAAGGAAAATTGAAAACAAATCTAGATATCTCCTACTATTCATATCACTTCATGCACATTAAACTTCGATTTCTCTAACTCCACGTCCATCCATTTGCAAAGCTGATGTCCAAATTATCAAAATTACATACCAAAGGAGTTAAACAATTCCACTTGGTTTAGACTTCAGAGCTACAATGTTTACCTTCATTTTTTCATGAATTTTCTGCCTCCTTTCTTCTGGAACCTGTGATTCTTCTTCAAGTTCCACAGTTGCCATTGAGGCCAATGTAAACTGCCCAACATAGTCTTCAAAAATTTCACTCCCAAATAGCATACCAAATACAGCAGAGGGGTCCATCATAGACTCCCTGTTCAAAACAAACTGTTAAAATAACCACTTAACTAAAGAATAAGCCTGAAATGATGACTTGTCTTGTACCCTTCACATAAATAGACAACAAATGCAGAATTTACAAACAGGAAAATATTTTGAGTAGCATAAAAACAGCTTGTAAATACAAAAAAAATCTCCACAAAAAGAACTGAGAGAGAAAACTTCAGTCTACTTGAGATCACTAATAGACATATTGTTTCAGAGTACATGTGGCTCAAAAAACAAGGCCAAGCAAACTTACTGCGCCACACAAGCCTTTCCATTCTTATCATATGCTTCACGCTTTCCTGGATCACTGAGAACTTGATAGGCCTCTCCAAGTACCTTAGCAAGAAATCTCATTATCACTAAAGCACCACGTGATCATCTTTATAGTATTTTGAATAGGTAACAACATTCAATATTAGTCAGATCACACAATTGTCATGTAATGAATCTCAATATTCTTTCAGGCAGCCAAGCTGGAGACTTCATAACAGAGTTACAGTAATATCTGTTCTTTTCATTGCAAACACAAAACAAAAACCAAAAAACAAAGAAATCTAAATGCCACTGAGGAAACCACAGAAACTATTCTGGTCTAAGGTCACATATGACAGTTGAGATAAATGCTAGAGATGGTTTAACAATAACAAATGGATTCACCCGAACAATCAGATTGAGATCATAAGCAGAACCTCTGTTACCTAGGCACTTTAAGGAAGGGTGTATAGATCTATTGCATGATTACATGTCTGATGCAGCAACCTAAAATTGACACACAAGAAGACACGTCCGTACACACACACGTCTATTTATTATTAATTTCACATCTTGTGGTGAGCACCATGACCCCCTTACCTTCACCAAGGAAAAAAGACACAAAAAACTAATCTTTGACACCATAATTTTTTATTTCCATCGTGTTTGATTCATTGCTACACACACCTTCCTCCCAAACTTTCCCCAACTCATCTTCACGGTCTTCAAAGCTCCCACCCAAAAGATCAATGGTTTTAGAGAGAGAGAGAGAGAGAGATAGAGAGAAAGAGAGAGAGTTCCAATTCCCATTTGTTGATTTCTATAGAGAGAGAGAGATGATCTATTTGCCAAACATTTAGTTGGTCTTGAGAGAGAGAAAGAGAGTCCATCTAAACATAGAGAGATAGGTTTCCATTTTTCAAGAAGAAAAAACCCACGAAGAATAACTCAGGGAACTTCTTTGCTGATTTCTAGAGTGAGAAAGGAAGATGGTCTTTCGAATGAGGAGAGGACTAACCAAGGAGTGAGATGATTTTCACTAGTTTTTATATGCTGCACTCAGAACAAGTGTCAAAATAGACAAACACTTGTCTATGAACAAAATAATTCAAATTTTATCAAAAAATATACTATAACTTGTTTTCTATTTTTTATTTAATTCATATTTTACAAAATAACATCTTCTCTGCCAAACTTATAATTTTGAAGTGTCTGGATAACATAGAATAATACACTGGAAAAATACTAAAAAAAAAGAAAAGGAACCACATTAGTAATATTGAGTTATAAATGGGCAAATGGTCCATGAACACCAAAATCTTAACACCTCAAGAATTGCAAGAAAAAAACAAAATTTCTTGTTTAATAGTGGAGACGCGCATAACATTGATAGAAATTAAACACTAATCGTCAGTAAGAAAGAGTTTACAAGGTTAGGCAAAATACTATAAAACTAACTGCATCAAGTTAACAATTTAAGCACCCTATTAATTAAAACAAAAGGATAGAAAGAAGCCAAATGATTGTGTACACAAAACATAATTCACATGAAAAAATGATATTGTATTGAAAGAATTCGATTGAAAAAAATACCTGAAAATTATGTGCAGCTTGAGGATCATCGGGATTTTTATCTGGGTGTACTTGTCTTGCCTAACAAATGAACATATGGAAAAACTATTATTTCCCAAATGCAATGCACACAAAGTATGCGGATTTAACTAAATTACTGCTTCACTAAATTATAGAAGAAGGAAAGCACAAATCTAATCACTTTAAAAGGACCATGAAGTTCTTTCCAACCCAGCCAATTATATATAATTCAAGAAAGAAGAAAAGGAGGAAGCACATGGTAGGCGGGAAAGAATGAATGGGAAGTCCAAGACAAGTTCCCGGTTTCGATGTCCTTATATTTATATACATTATTCACAGTGTACATTACAAACATGATTACGACAACATTAATACCTGCAGAAGAACAAAATTTACAAGTTCGCCCTTGCAAACAACTTTATATCCTTTTCATGCCCCCTCAAGTTGTATGTTACTAACAATCATGGACAGCTTGCCCTTTAGAAGACCATACCTCTGCTTAGTCAGCCCCTTTGTAAAAATATATGCCACATTTTCATTGGTCCCAACAAATTTTTCCACTATTTCCTTGTCTTCAATTTCCTCTTTCACAGATATTTGAAAATGTTTGCTCTTTCCATTGTACTTTGATTGTCGCAATATAGAACGGCACTACAAGATTTCAGACCAAAAACCAGACCAAGATTTCTTATCCAAGTAATTTCAGAAGTGACGGCTGCCATTGCCCTTTAGTAAGCGTTTATGCTTGATCTTGCCGTTGGTCTTTGTTTCTTAGTTCTTACTAGACCAAGATACCAAGTTGTCGCCCATAAATATACAGTAACTTGTAGCCAATCTTCTAGTATTGGGGTCCCCAGCCCAGTTGGTATCTGAAAAAGCTATGGGCCTTAAAGGGTCCATGTCCTTAGGATTATTTTTAAAGTAAAGCAAGTAAAGCAGCCTATCATTTGTAGAGCCCTTAATGTATCTTATTATCCTCTTGGTAGCCTCTAAATGGTTCTTCTTGAACTATGCATATACTAGCTCAACTAATTGACTGAATAAGATATATTGGGGTTATGAAGGTGAGATATGGTAAGCACCAACTGCACTTCTGTATTCTTCTGGGTTTGAAATAAAATCCCCAAAACTTTTATTATCTCCCAGTCTTATATTTAGAGCTATAGGTGTAGAGGCCGGTTTTGCACATCTTTGTCCATTTCAAAAGTTCCAAACCATATGTGTGCTGCCTGGTTTTGAAATTTTAGCTGCCTAATTGCCTAGGCAGCTAGGAGGCCTTGGCACAACGAATTGGCCAAGGCGGACGCCTTACAAGGACATGTATCTAGGTGCCACCTAGGCTGAAGCCTTGACAAAAGCCGGAAAAAAAAAAAAAGAGTAAACCAGAAGATCTTCAGATAGAGAGGAAAAGTGACAAACTTTTCTCCATGAGTAAGACCCTCTCTCAACATGTAACAACCGTTTTAATAAATGCATCATATGAGCATTTAATAGGAGGACATCAAGTCCACCTTTCTCTCTTTCTATTCCGACCTATAACACCCCTTCTCTCTCTCTCTCTACACACACCGTTAATAAGCATTTAATGCCCAGACAACTCATTTTAACACACTAAAATATAAATATATCAATTTAACATATAAAAACATTCATTTAATAATCAATGCTCCATCAACTCCACCTCTATCTATCTCTCATGCAAGGACATCAACTCCATTTTACATTTGTTCTCTCTCCCCCTCTTTGGATGTAACAATCATTAACAAGCATTTAATGCACGGACAACTTGTCCCATCACACACTAAAATATAAACATATTCATTTGATATGTAAATATATGCATTTAAGAATCAATGCTCTAGTCAACTCCACTCTCTCTAACAGCACTTCTAGGCAGACAAATCCACCTTTTACAATATTTTGCCCAATTATCATTCCTATCTTTCTTTCTTTCAAATTATATGCCTAGGAAGTACTTTATCTGCCCAAATCCTTCATTTGAAATGCATCAAAAAGAACCTTTCTGATGTGATTCATTTTATTCAATGAGGTGCCTATGTGGACAATGTGATCTACGTAAGAGTAGTAGAATACTAATATTTCCTGCAAGCTAAATAAATACGGAGAGGTCATTCTCTAAAAGCCATACGTCCCTATCACTTTACGAAAGCTATCAAAGCAAGCTTGTGATGCCTATTTCAACCCATATATTACCCAATTTAATTTGCACATCATAAGTTTTGGATCTCCTCCATTATATCCCATTGGGTGTTCCTATATACTTATTCTCTCAGGTCCCATGTAGGATGCACTTTTAACATCCATTTGGAATATCTCCCATTAATGGTCTAGTGCAAAGGATAGGATAACTCTAATGGTGCCCATTATAAGATTAAAAAAATTTCATCATAACCCATATTCTTGATTAAATCCATTTACAACCAGGCTCACTTTGAACCACTCAATATCATCATTTGCCTTATAATTTATTTTATACACCCAATTCGGCCCACCAACACTCTTTCCTCTTAAGCTTCAGACTATCACCAATATTTTACATCTATGTAGTGCTTGAATCTCTTCATTCATTGCCTCTATGCTTCTCATATTTTTTGCTGCTACTTCCTACGCACTGACTTCATTTTTGTTAAGAAAACATGATGTTCAACATATAGTTACCAGAATAGTCCATCCTCTGGAATCACGTTTCGCATAAACTTGAAGGAATCGCCATAAATCCCGAGAGATAGGAATCACAATTCCAAGGTTTTTTGGATCTTGTTCGGATGCCTTTGGAATCTAGATTCCACGTCACCCAATTTTGCGACGCATATGTGTATAAGACCATGATTCAACCAATATGAAACTTGGCTTCCCATTTTTACAAATAGCAATCAGAGATATTTACAACGTAGGGCATTAAAAATGAAGTTGCATTTTAAAGTATATTTGTATTTTTGTAGTTTCCTAAGTTTAGTACATTGACATGAATTCGCCAGCATGCTTCAACAAGTTCTATGCTATGTTTGTTAACATGCTTTAACAAGTCAAGTGGTATACTGATTGCAACAATGTTAAGTGGTATCAAATGTTTCAAAAGTGTTGGGCAGCGTCTGGGTGGCCAGGAGGGGGGGGGGGGAGGGGGAAAGCCGCCCAATGCCTGAGCAGGCTCCCAGAACCTAGGCGGCGTCCCAATAGAAACAAAAGTTTTACTGCCTAAAATAGGCTCTAATGTGGGGAACCTGTAAAATAGGTCCAGTAGAAACAAAATTTGGATGCCTAAAAACCAGTTTTCTGAGTTTTTCTCTCTCTAATATAGGCTTTGATGTTTAGGTTTCAAATGAACCTAAAATCCACCCTTATCCCCTTTTTATATTAAAAAAAAACCCAAAAATGCTCCTCAACGAGGGGCATTTCTTCCCCTGGGCAAGCGCAAGCCCTAGGCGGCCACCTGGGCTGGGCGCTGAGCGCTCGCCTAGGTGGGTTCCCTAGTGCCCAAGCAACCGCCTAGGGCAAGCCGCCTATTTAGGCCACCTACGCCTGAGCAAGGCACCACCTAGTTGTTGGGCGGTCCGCTTTTTAGAACATTGAGTGGTATAATGATCGCAAAAATTTTATGGAATGCTTAGAATTTTTTTAAACATTATTTGAAAATTTGTTATTTAAAATTTATTAATGATTGATATATAATGGGTATCTAAAAACTCTATAGGTGTCAACAACAAACTCTAGCTTACATGATCCCCAATTTTCAAGTATTTGTAGTCAATGTCTTTTTTTCAAAAATAGATTATAAATTACTTAGTAATGTTATTTCCTTTATCCAATCTAAAACCTCTAAGAAAGTACGTAGTTAAGGGTACTCGGTTTGATCTCCAATACTAGTAGAGAACTATGCAAAAAGGCACTCAATACACCAACTTCAATGTTGAGGGAGGGCTGTCAAAGACATCGATTCCAACAATAGGGGAGCCTGGGTAACCGTATTCAACATATGGAGTCCAATACCAAGGAAATCTTGCTTATAAATAATCTAAACTATTAAATCATTTGCCTTTTGGAACTCATTTGTTGATTCAAAGTAGTTTAGTGAGTGATTCCCGTAAGTTAGGAATCTTGATTCTAAACAGATCGGACTGCTATTCCAACAAGCAATGTTTCAAAAAGCGCTAGGCGGCACCCAAGCGGTCATGGGGGTCTAGGCTGCCCAGCACCTAGGCGAGTGCCTAAAACTTGGGCGGCCCAGTTGAAAGAAAAAAAAAATTTGATGACTGATAATGATTAATCCATAAGAATTTTGATAATCTATAAGACCATAATCCATAAGAATTTTGATAATCCATAAGACCATAATCCTAGTTAAAAATAAAAAAAAAGATAGAAGTCTAAAAGAGAATTTTGATAATCCATAAGACCAAACTCCATATTTTCATACAATGCTAAAACCGTAAAACCATACAAGCATACACTGATTGTTTGATACACTATAGACTGTACACACAAAAGTTTCTTGAATCGGTTAATACCCCCATTGGTATCTTTTTCATAAAAATTACACCTTATACAATTTTTATCGTTTGGTTTTGGGTTATAACTACCAACCTGGATCACTTCTTTTAGAAGTAACAAAAATAGATCTATTCAAATGACAAGGATTTTGTTCCTGTTTTTGTTTTACAGAGCTCATATATTGCTTAATCTCCTCTCTGATAGGTTAAGGAACATTTTTACAAGGGGCAACATCCCTTTTAATAACGGAAAGATGTTTCTTAAACTGGTTTATACTAACTTTTGTATCTTTTTCACAAAAATTGCATCTAATGCAATTTATGTCATTTGGATTCGGGTTATATCCATATTTCCAACCCGGATCTCTACTTCGACTAGATCATGAAGAAGACATCTCAAAATAAAACAAGCAATCTAAAAAATAAAGTTTTGCACTAACTTTGATTGTTCGAACTCCAAACTCCCACCTCTGAGATGTTTTCTAGTCCTAAAATAATAAAAAGCACCCTATTATAGGATTATAAAACTCCAAAACTAAATTAAATCTACCT